TGTGTGTGTGTGTGTGTGTGTGTGTGTGTGTGTGTGTGTGTGTGTGTCCGTCCATAGGGATGTTAGATCCCCTGGAACTGGAGTCAGGTGGTTGTGAGCTACCAAACATGGGTGCTGGGAACTGAACTCAGGTTCCCTGGAAGAACAGAAAGTGCTCTCAACCGCTGAGCCATCTCTTCAGGCCCCAAATAACCTGTAAAAAACAAATTCTGTAGGGATCTGGGGATTTAGCTCAGTAATAGAGCGCTTGCCTAGGAAGCAAGCTTAAGGCCCTGAGTTTAGGCCTCAGCTGGTAGTGTGGGGGGTACAGAGTTCTCTAATATTACATCTTGGCCTGACTTCTAGAGCTGTTTTGCTCAGTTTTCTGGTGCGTTTCCACAATGTCTACTAACCCCAGAGCCTTTATATCCATAGCATAAGGACAGATTCTTGGAAAGACCCAAAGGCTCTGGGGTGGGGGAATCATCCTCCCTCAGCTCGACTTTGAAAGTTGGGTCAATCAAAGCATGTGAGGTCTGGCTGTGCACTTCTCCCTTTCCTACTTCTGTTTTTGTGCTGGTGACCTATGATGAAAGGCAGCGGGGTCAGAATTGGGCAGCATGTGCCTACAGAGACTTATGGAGAAGAAGGACAGTGGCCCCAGACTTCAGATCCTTTCTAGTCCTACCCCATCAGGTCAGCACTGGTGTCATGGGCTCCTGTCAGTTCTACTAACACTCTGGCTTGAGTGGGAGGGTCAATACATAACACGGACCTGGGTGGATACCTCCCAGTGACACCTGAGGACCAATGGACAATAAGGCTTTGTCACAGAAACCTTGTTTAAAATACTTCCAGCCATGTCTGTGATATAAAATGATAATTAATTAAATGACTACACACACACACACACACACACACACACACCACACACACACACCCCACACACGTTGGTCTATATCCTCAGACTATTAAAAAATACATGGAATTATAAAGAAAAAAGTATGTGTATAGACACACACTGTATATAGTAAATATGTTCACAGGAAAAAACCAAGGCAAACAGTGAGGGATGTTAATTTTGTAGGGGTGACAGTAATTAGTCATCAGTGGTAGCACATAAAGGAGGCAGAAGATAGACGTGGCTGACAGGTATGTCTGTATATTCTCAATATTACATGAGGAGAATATAGCCCTAAATCACTTTTGTGCCATATAGATCATGTCACTTCCAGTACATCACTCTCTGAGGTTTATGTCTATTTCTGCCTTTAATTTATTTGCATATCTTTTGTTAAACAGGAATGTTTCCCTTGGACAGACTTTTCCTCTCTGTGTGTGGCCTTAGTTGAATCACATAGTTAGTCTGTGATTTCCTTTTTTTCTGCATTGTGAGATATCAACTGAGCTAGGCAGTTTCCAGAAACCATCCCAGCATGACACTGTGATTCTATTATCCGCCCCTTTCCTGCACCAAGGCCCAAGGAAATCATTGTGGGAAAATAATGATGGGTTGGGAAGGTGGGTGGGTGTTCTTCTAAGAAAGATAGTAAAGTTCTGTGCTCTTACCTGAAGTCCACGATGTCAGCAGAAGTGAAATAACGGCTCAGAGATGGGGACTCTTTATATGTGTCCGTGAGCTAAACACACAGAAAGAAAAAAAACATACAAGTCACTTGTGACCATCTTACACATCACCTACAAACGCATACGACTACAGAACAAAGAGGAATTCACTGCTAGGAATTCACTTGTCTGGGAGCTCTGGACTAAGAGTAAGGAAATGTAAGCTGACCACAGATCAAAGCACAAGTTAACACTCAGTGAGTTCTCAATGTTCTAACTAATAAGAGTCTCATTGAGAGCCAGGTACATGCCTATAATCCTCAGCATTTGGAAAGCTGAGGAAGCCAGACTGCCCAGGAGTTCAAGGTAAGCCTGGTCTTCATAGGGAGTTTTCTAAGTCAGCCAGGGCTACATAATCAGACTGTCAAAAAAAAAAAAAATCAAAATGGGTTCATTGGTAAGGTCCAAGTGACTGCCTGGGAGTTCTCAACATCACTTATGACTTGAGCTGGCACTTGGTATCCTTAGTGGTACTATGGTCAGCGATCCCTAGCAGAAGCTCACAGAAGCACCACTAAACACTGGGGGCGGTGGGGCCAGGGGGAAGGGATCAATTCAGCACAAGCCACTCAGCACCAGGGACAAATCACTGTTCATGGGCTTCTTTCTCCCTTCTGCAGAACTTCATTGTTAGGAGAAATAGCTATCCTGAGTGTCAGGTCCAGCACTTGCCCAGGCAAGAGAACAAAGTGATGAAGTCCCAAAGATATGGAGGCTTTGCAGTAAAAATTACATGTATCCTAAAACATGACAACACCCATGTTTCCACCACCTACGCTTCATGCCTTCACTTTTTGCTATGCCGTAGCTGCATAGTCTATGACAGAGTTATTTTCTGATAAAAACAAATTCAGATTGAAATTATCAAAAGGCAAAAGTATACAAATGAGGGGGCAAGGGTAGGTAGAGGCCGCAAAACCAAAGGGAGGCCCGTGAGACTGGGCAAATGAATCTTTAAGAGAGAGGGCGGGGAGACTAATAGAACCCATGTGCTGTGAAAAGAGGAAGGGGGAATTCCTAGGCAGATGAGTATGGCAAGGATAGGGGCTAGGAGACAGGGGAGAGGAGCCGACAGGAGTAACAGACAAAACTGTGTGTGTATGAAAACACCATAAGGAAATCTGTTACTTGGCATGCAAATTAAAAATGATAGGAATGCATTTAGTATATCTAACATACTCAACATTGTGGCTTAGCCTGGTCTACTTTCAACATGCCCCCAAACACTTTCTTTCATTAGCCTACCATTGGGCAGACCAATCTAACACAAGCCTGTTTTATAGTAAGGTGCTATACTCATGCAAATTGTCTAAATATTGTCATTAAAGCCAAAACCAGAAAGGCTGTATAGGTGTGCATTTACACCACCAAAAGTCTTGGAACCATAAATTAAAAATTGAGGACATTCTTTCTCCCTTCCAGGGTACTAACCATTATCCTGACATTGGTATCTAGCTTTTCTTCTATGTTTAGGAATCACTACTTCTTTATAGAATCATAACAACAATGTTATTTATATTTTTATTCAAATAAAATGCATTCTATATCATCTTCTAAGAGCTGCTTTTTTGTTTGTGCTTGTTTTTTTTTCTTTAGATATATTCTCAATATTTTAATCAAGCTGGTCTCAAACTCCTGACTCAGTATCTTCCTGCCTCAGATTCCCAAGTAGCTAAGACCACAGATGTGTAACATTGTGTACAATTTAAGATTTGCTTTTTTTTAACTGAAAATTACATTTGAGATTTATGCCTAAAAAACATCTCAGTGAAGCCCCTTCAGTCCATCTCCCACATAACTGCATTAAGTCATTACCGCAGCTCATTCATTTCCCCACTGATGACCATATGACTTCCTTCCATGTTGTCTCTGTCATAAATTGTGCTGATGCAATCATCCCCAGACATCTCTGTGCACCTCTTTGTTCACGTGAGACTCTCCCCAGGTATACAGCCAGAAATGGAATTATTGGTCCAAAAGCAGTTGCATCTTCAACTCAACTCATTCTTGTTGAATGTTTGCCATTTTTCTCTCCTTCTTACACTCATATCCATTCAATTCCCCATATTCTTACTAGACTTAAAAGCTTTTTCCAATCTGGGGAATGTAGGATCATGTCTCACATTGTATATACTACCTTTCCTACTAGAGGGGGAGCATCTTTCCATGTGTTCAACTCTTTAGGACCTCTTACCTCTGAATCATCTGTTATTTCCTTTTCTTAACTTTTTTCCTATCTATTTGGAGTGATTGGTTTTATTTTCAAACAGTAGTTGTTGGTATTATATGACATCATCTTTTTCTGATCTTTAAAAATTATTTTTATTTCTCTGCATTTTGTCTGCATATCTGTACATGTACTGCACATGTACTTGGTGCCTCTGGAGGCAGGAGAAGGCACTGGATCCCTGGAACTAGAATTACAGATCTTGTGTGTAAGCAGAGGTTTCTGTCCCTCCAGCAACTCCCAAATACCCAGCAGCCACTTCCCAAATTACCACACAGAAGCTTATGTTAATTATAAATGCTTGACCCCTAGCTCAGGCTTACTAATTAGCTCTTGCACTTAAATTAACCCATAATTCTTATTTATTTATTTATTTATTTATTTATTTATTTATTTATTTATTTATTCTTATTTAGTCACGTGAATACTGGGAACCAAATCTATATCCTCTGCAACAGCAAAAAAGTCCTCTTAACAGCTGAGCTATCTCCCCAGCCTTTGATTAGTCCTCCCATCAAGTTTTAGAGATACAAATCCTAACTGCTTTGTAAAGGAACAGATGGCTGATGAAATTTGCACTGTGTTCCTTTTGCATTTACATTGGAAAGTTAGAACCTTGTTCTCCAACACACTAGCTCTAGGATAAGTCAGGACTGGGATCTGGTACCACTCTCAGCATGGAAATAGCTCTGGCATTAGAGTAACAACTACATCAAAAACAGGGCCTGATCCACTCCTACCCAGCTTGCAGCCTCCATCCAGACACTGCTCTGAGCCTATTGCATTACCGGTGGTAACTTTGTGATGAGCTAGCCATTCCCAGGTATACCAGAAATCCTTAGTGAGCCATGAATTTATCAAATAGTAAGCACTGCTCTTGCTTTACCGGTGGTAACTTTGTGATGATCTAGCCATCTCCAGGTATACCAGAAAGCCTTAGTGAGCCATGAATTTATTAAGCACTGTAACATATAGCCTAGTAGAACCCTATGAAAGTGCACACCTTCTTTCCTATCTAATTTCAAGAAGGTTGCACAACCAAGTACTCCCACCTAACCCTATGGAAACTCAGTGATGCTTAGGGTTTGTATAACTCTAATATTAAAAATGGAACCTTTATAAGGGTCTCACATGACAGACATTTTGTCACTTTCTCTCTACAGATTAAGAACCAGTATTCCAAGAGGTTAAAAACTTGCTAGTTTCTTCATACACAACTAGTAAATTCTGAGGGCCAAATTTACTTTTAGGTATGATAGACATGAAGCCCAAATCATTCCTATTTTACCTCATTACCCACAGAAGGTGAAGCAATGGAGGTACGCAGCTTCCACCGAATTATCAAGAAAGGGAAAAAACATAACGTAATAAGAGTTTTGCGGCAGGGGGCAGGAGAGAGAAAGACGTCATCTCAGTTCTTAAGCTCCAGTATGAAGAAGATGGATGATGGACAAGAGGGAACATTCAGATTCTGGAAGGCAACTTCCACTGCTCAGCATGAAGGGGAAGTGCTGACAGGTGGAGAATGCTGCAAAGGATGTTTTCCCAGCACTAAAAACACTGATAATAAATAATAACCATATGCCTCCCTTCTTGTAGGTTGTGCCAATCATTCTTTGTAAAAACTTGTGTGTGTGTTTAATATATTTGTGTGTGTGTGTGTATACCTGTTGTACCAGAAGTCCTCTTTCCCTGTTGCTCTCCACCTCACCTTTTAAGCTAGTCTCCCTCCCTGAATCCAGAGCTCATCAAATAGCTAGACTAGGTGGCCAGCAAGCTCTAGGGATCTTCAGTCTCCCGTTCCTGACTCTCTCACCACCCATAGGATTATAGATTCAGGCATCCATGCCTGACTGCTTCACATGGGTTTTGAGGATCCAAACTCAGGTCTTCATGCTTCCACAGCCATCTCCCCAATACCTACCATTATTCCCAACCTGCTCTTTCCCCACACTCCTTCCTAAGTCTATCCTAGGATCTAGAACTCTGTTTGCCCATAGCAGACTCTCAGCAAAATGGTCAAAGCTAAAATTGCAAATTAAAAGATGGAATTCATGGCTGGTACACAGTTAGTGCACATTCTAAGGGTCTTTTTGTTGTTGTAGTTGGGACATATCAGCATTTCCTAAGAAATCTCTCGATAACTTCAGTAACACCCTTAATGGCAATATTCAAAATCTCATTGATAATCTCTTTCACAGAGATTGCACTCTTGGCTTTAACTGACTCATTCCTCAGAATGACAGAAATGCTGCCTACTAAATAATCAAGGAGGGATGATTGCCCTGGCTGGCACTTCTCATTGCACACATAGTTATACTGGTATTGCAAAAATTCAGTTATAAAAATTAACAAAAACACTACTTGGTGAGATAGAGATATCTCATGCTTTGATCTACTTGATTTTGCATTGGGTTCATAGGACTCCTAGTCACAGAGCATATTCCAAGCTCTAGACACTTGATAGTTGTAATAGCAATGTTTACAGTGTACAATATCCTCTGAAAATTGTTTTTGTTCCTACAATCCTTCTTCCCCCTCTTCAGCGGGATTCCTGAGCTCTGCCTAATGCTTGACTATGAGTCTCTGCATCTGTTCCCATCAGTTGCCAGATGATGATGCTCTGATGACAATTGAGTTGGCACCAATCTATGAGTAGAGCAGAAGGGACATCATAAGAACAGGGCTCATATGGGCACACAGAGGCTGAAGTGACAAACATGGACCCTGTATGGTTCTGATCTAGGTCTTGTGCATACACCTTATAGTCGCATAGCTTAGTGTTCTTGTAGGACTCCCAACAATGGGAGTGGGGGTGTCTCTGACTCTTTAGCCTGTGCTTGGGACCCCTTTTCCTCTTGCTGTGGGTTGCCTCATCCAGCCTTGATATGACGGTTTGTGCCTAGTCTTATTGTATCTTGTTAGGCCATGTTCTGTGGATACCCCTGGGAGGCCTGCTCTTTTTTTTTTTCTTAAGGGAAACAAAGGAAGAGTTGATCTGGGAGAGAGAGAAGGTTGGGGCAGGGACTGAGAGGAGTGGATGGAGGGGAACCTGCAGTTGGAATGTAATGTAAGAGAGAAGAATAAGGTTTTTTTTTTTTTTTTAAGTGTCTTTGTTTGTTTGGGCATTTTTTACTTCTTCATTTAGTTTGGTTGGTTAGTTGGTTTGCTTTGGTTTTGGAGACAGGGTTTCACTCTGTAGGCTAGGTTGGGGTGGAACTTTATTGTATAGCCCAAGTTGCAATCTTCCTGTCTCAGCCTCCTAAGTACTGGAATTAGAGGCATTAGTCATTCCACCTACCTACTCAAAAGTTAAGTGTTTAGTAATCTGTTGACATTAAGTGTGCTGTCCTTGGCTAGAATGACATCAGAGAACTGTGTGAACACCAAGGCACCAGGAGCAAGGAATGATGGGTTGAGACTAGAATCTCAAAATGGCAATAACTGAGAGTAGCTCTGATGCACTGTGTTTTCATTACACTTTTACCAGAGTGCAAACCCAACTGAAAGATGAGAACTGTTAAATAAAAATTATAGGAGGGTAGCTTGAGAGAGTGGTTAGGGGTACTTCCTGCTCTTGTACAGGACTCAGGTTACCAGCACCCATGTCAGGTGACTCACAACCCATCTGTCTCCAGTTCTGGTGGATCTGACACCCTCTGGCCTCCATGGACACTGGCCATGGGATGCATATAAACTCACAAAGGCACACATACATACTCACAAATAAACTATTTGAAATCATTTTAAAAATACAGGAAGTCTTTGTTGTTGTTGTTTTTGTTACACTCCTGTACAGACCCAAGCTAAAACATCAAGACAAGGTCACAAAAGCTGGATTTCTGTCTTACCAGGCTGAAGCTAAGATGTGCATCCAACTGTCTGGAAAACCAGGATTGCAGTGACAGCCAGATTTCCCAAACAGGGCAGTTTCAACTTGTTTAATAATGAAGTTCCCCCAAGGCTTTATCTTTTCTTGTAAAAACCAATACCCTGAATCAACCTATGCTTCACAAACCAGTTATTTTCCTGCCGTTCAATTTCCCTGTCTCCACTTCACAAGGAAGCCGCTTTGAATGACCTTTCCACTCTTGTTTCATTGTTCCTTTCTTCAAGCCTTTCTAGTTCTATAAAACCAAACTTCGGTGCTCAGACCACCAGAGGATTTGTTCTTTTTATGGAGTGAGGTGTTCCACATGTCTAGGAGTGGAAGAAAGCCAGTCAATCACTGCATGGTGCGATACTGTAATGAACAGTGGTAAGGTTAAAACAGGAGCCTGGAGACTAAGAAGACAGCATGGGCTGCATAGTGAGACCCTGCCTCAGAATATTCCTGGGTCTGGCATGAACTCCTGTCTTTGAGAGCCAAGACTGACCCACGAAATCTGCAATCTGTCTGCAGAGCCTTCATCTTGCAGAAGTCTCTACATTTTCTGTCCCACAGATCATGCACCTAGCCTTCCAACCAGGAGGCTGGAGTTCTACTCTTCTTCTCCCCTTTCCAATCACTAAGTTTCTCTCAGTAAAGATGCCTCTTAAATTGGAGCTCTTCCTTACCACCCCCAAGGCTGCCCCAATTCAAACGGCCTTCGTTTCTCAGATACACTGCTACATTACCTCAACACTAGTCTCTTCAGGTACTGCCCAGTACCACACAGAAAGAAGAAAATCTAACCATGTCAGTCTACAACTTAAAAACTTTACATAGTCTACCCAAAAGTGGGGAGATTTCCGTGACCTGCTCCCTACTTTTCTGTCTAATTTAACCCCTGAGTGTCCTGAATACAGAATGCTCAAGCTCAGCATACCACTGCATATACTCCTGAAATGATACATATAGATACATATCGTGTTGTTCCATCTCCCAGTCCCCACTTTACAAATATATATATATTTATTATATATATAATATATATAATATATTAAATATTATATAATTATAATATATTATATTATATATTATATATTATATAATAATATTATATATAATATAATAATAATATATTATATATATATATATATATAAATGTATCCTATAACTATCCTGAATACCTCCTTTGTGGATGTATGAGTATGATGGACTGGGGCGATGACTCATTCGGTAAAGCATTTGCAGCATAAGCATGAGGAATTGAGTCCAATCTCCAGAACTCACATGAAAAGCCAAGCGTAGTAGCACCTGCCTGTAATCACAGTGTTGGGCAGGCAGACAGCAGGATCCCTAGGGCACACTGGTCATCCAACCTAGTCAAATTGGATGCTCTCTGGGTCCCAGTGAAAATGCTGTCTCAAAAAAAAATAATAATAAAGTGGAAAGCAATCCAAGAAAACACCTAATGTCAACCTCTGGTCTCCACATGTACACATGTGCATATAGACACATAAATGACATGTACACGTTTGCACACAAACACACACAGAATGCCAACAACACTGTATGTAACTCAGCATTAGGACATAACTACACTGTTTTTTTTTAACTTTGATTGCTTCCCCTACTTGGACTTCCCCTAAGCAAGGACTATGTGGCCTTGGAACTTGGCATTATTAGGTCACCAGTGAATACAGGCCGGGTAAAATACAGGACAAGCATGTGTGAAGGACGCTGTCTTCTGGGATGCACACAGCTGGAGGCCAGGCCAGGCTCATTCCAGTTGCCGGCTTTGCCGCCTGAAGACGCATTTATAAGCATCTTCTGCTGTTCACTCTCGAGCTTTGCTGATTGATCTAACAGAACTCATAATCCAATGTTCAGAGCTCTGTAAACAATACATAAGGCATAATCACCCTTTTAGTGAGCGAGTGATGCAATTCCTCTTCATTAACACACTCCTCTGGAATCTTGAACACGATGAAGAAGGTTTTGTTTGATGATAATTCAGGTATTTCATTTTCATCTTCATCGATGTAAGTTACTAAAGAGATTCAGGGGGTAAAAATAAAGGTAAGGATATGCATAAAATAGTGAATTTAATAAAGACAGATGTGGTGGTGCACACCTGTAATCTCAGAACACAGAGGCAAGGGAACCACTTCAAGTTCCAGGCCAGTTTGATCTACATAGCTAGCTCCAGGACATCCATGACTTCACGGTGAGACTGGATCTCAAAATACACAAAGCAAAGAAAATAAAAAGGCATTCATTCTGTTGGCTTCTCTAACTAAACCTAACCTAAGTATCCACACTCCTAGAAGCTAAAGCCTGGACACAGTCAGTGAGTATAAGCAGGAATACGTCCTTTGATCAGCAAAACAGAATAAAAGAGAGATATTTGTCTTCATTGTGATCAACGTTTTGTTGGTTTTAAGGCAAAAGGGTCTCTGACATCACTGAATATAGGCCAGGGGAAGGACCAGGAGGAAAGAACTGGAAAACAGTGAACTTGTTTGTGACACAGAAAACCTGAAGGTTTTCTGGGTACTCAGGTGTTGGGAGAAGCACCAGAAGACATATAGGGAGTGATCACAAGCAGCTTCCGTGAACCAGCTTCCAGTTCAGTGCTGTCAAAGACCATGAAGAGAAAGTGATATCATGGACAAGAATGGAGGTAAGACTAGAAAATGAGGATATGAGTTTATGTCTCCAAGCATTCCAAGAGACAGGGCATGGGCATGAAGTCATCACTCCAGCCTGTGTCCCACAGAAGAGGGCTGCAGACATACTCTATTTGCAGAAGGGAAACCAAACCTCTCTTGGAGCCCCAGGGCCTGCAGAGCAACTCCTAGGACAATGAGCTCTGTGTTCTAATGACTAGAGCTAATTGATTTTTAAACAGTTAGAGCTGGAGGAATGAAGGAACACCACACAAAGCCAGGAGCCAGGAGCCAGAAGCTGGCACCAGCGTGCTTATGACTGCCTTCCTGGCTCCACTCCAGCCTCACATGCTTGCTCCACACAGGGGGCCACCTCATCTGCCCTGTGAAAAGCGTGGGCTGCTGAGGAACGAGGTGCTCTCAGACTTCCCCCTCAAATTCTATGCATCATACGTAACCAACTCTGTGTCTTTTACTGGACTTCGAAAGGCCATCCTGGAATGATGTTTCCATCAGTGTTTGTGATAGAAACGCAGATAAAATGCAGGCCTGTGCTGTCTCAAAAATGCAAGTGGAGAGCAATTGAAGATGACACCTGATGTCAACCTGTGACCTCCACATGTGCATGCACACACACAAATGAACATGTACAACAATGTTACCCAGCTGTGACCCCCATGAACTACAATAATGACCAGTGTAGCAAAATATGCCCATGGATGCAATAGATACAAGAATGTTACAGGAATAACCAACTGCTCTCTGATTAGATTTAAGGTCCAGTCCACTAGAGAAAACTCATACCTGGGTCTTGTAAAATCTGTCCAGGAGCCCATGATTGGGGAATTTATAGGCCACAGGAATAAACATACTGCTATTATTCTGCTAAATGGACATAATAATAGCAAACTGCCGCTAAATTCCTATCTCTATATTTATAGATTAGTGATGTTCTCAGACTTCATCAGAGAAGTTTTTTGTGCAATGGGTGGTGGTGAACATAGAAATTCAAACCTGATCAAAGTGCAGAGAACAAGTCTCAGCGGAGTGTTCAGCCATGACTGGAACATCTACATCACTCTACCCACCGCCAAAGCTCAGAGGCAATTGTGGAAAGGTCAAAAAGATTGTAAGAACTCGGAGTCAGGAAGACAAGAATGACACGATGTCTTCTAGACATGAAGGACAGCTGCACTCATGAACTCATAGCAGCTGTGGTAGTCTGCAGAAGGCCCGCAGGAGATCAGGCTGATCAGCATCCTAACATAGAGGAAGGAGGGGCCCATGAGCCTCCACCTCCTAGGAGCTATTGGCAGTTAATGGCTTCTAGGGAAGGGAGAGAGTTTTTTTTTTTAACTTCTTATTGATTCTTTGTGGATTTCACATCATGCACTCCAATCCCATTCATCTCCCCTATCCCCTCATATCTGCCCTCTGCCCTTGCAACCTATCTGCCAATAAAATAAAATAAAATAAAATAAAATAAAATAAAATAAAATAAAATAAAATAAAATAAAATAAAATTTAAAACAAAACAAAACAAAAACTCTCGTCTTGGAGGCTGTAGTGTGTCACAGTGAGTCACACAGTTTACCCTTTAGTCCGTACCTCCTTACTTGCGAGTGTTCATTGAAATGAGTCATTGGTTTGGCTCAAGGCCTCTGGCTTCTGCTTCACTATCAGTGCCGGGCCCTCACTTGGACTCCTTTTGGATATCCTGTTGTTGCCCTGTGTCATGGAGATCCTGCAGATTTGGACTGCAGGACCAGCCCCTTCATGTGCTCCAGTAGGGCATAGATGGGGTGGATGTTGGGGTGATCCAACTCATAGCCCTGGTTCTGGGCCTAGGTGGTAGCTGGGTTGATCAGCCTGCCAGCACTCCCTTATCCTCACCACCAGGCTAAGCTCTCCAGCACTGTTGCAGGCAACAAGGGGTGGGGCCAGTTCTCCTGCTCACACTCTCAGAGCAGGCTCACCTGCACCCACCCACACCACCAGGGCCGGCTCCATATGCTGCCCAGGTGAGGTGCAGCTCCCACTCTCCGGAGTTCTGCAGCTGGAGAGGGGCAGGACCAGCATAGCTCAACCATGCTTCAGGAGATGATCCTGCTCCTAGGAGTATATAGTCTGCACAAATTAGCCTTGGTAGATTATTAAAACAAAAACAAAAAAACAAGGACATGAAGTTGGAAAGGGGTAAAGAGACAGGATGGATCTAGGAGGAGTTAGGGGGAAGAGTAGGGGTGAATATGATCAAAATGTATTGCATAAAATTGATAGAAATATTAAAATTTAAAAAAACTATCACTAATTCCCAAACTTCTGTTCACTAACCCACCCAAAAAAGGGAATGTCTTTTCTGACTTCAGTAATCATAGATTAGTTTTGCTTATTTTGAACTTTAAGTAGGGGGATCTCTGTGAGTTCCAGGCCTTCTTAGGTTACTCAGAGAAACCCTGTCTTGAGAAACCAGAAGGGGGAGGAGGAAGAGGAGGAGGGGGAGGGGGAGGGAGAAGGGAGGGGAGGGGGAGGAGGAGGAATTCTGACACTTATTCCCAAGGAGATAGTACTATGAGGAATTAGGGGCAAAGAATGCACCCTAAAGAGTTTTAGCAAAGTTGGTCTGAGATTGCCAGCCTTGGAAAGGCCTGCTCAGGGTGACTTCAGACTAGCAACTGGAGCTTGGATTTGAAAAAGATTCCCATCAGCCCCTGACTTATAAGGGTGACCCATTGTGCCTCATCTACTTGGATAAACAACATTGTTGGTCAACATCTCCTTTCCTTCTGAGAGTCTGTAAATGTGATATACTCAAGACAGAGGCTGTATAACCAACACCCAATGAAAACCTTGGCACAAAATGTCTAGCAGGCATCCAGAAGAGCTTTTGTACGTGTCTAGTCACAACTTACTGTTGGAAAACTTGAATCCCAAGTACCTACACTGGGAAAGAACTTAAAACCTGATCCCAAATTCTTGTGGATTCTGTTATAATAATAAATGCCTTTATTTAATGACTATTCATAATTTTAAATATTCCGTGAGGACTGCGTGCAGTCTTAAAAATTCACTGACTCATTTTAGGGAATCCCATACAAGGGTTAGCCCTGAATTCTTATTTGTTGTAAATCATTGAATATTTTTTGTCTGATCCTAAAATGTATGCCATCTTACCCAAAAATCTGAAAACTACAAAAAATTATAACCCAATCCAAGAAATAGTACTCTTCATAATCGTTTGTTATGGTTTAGAACTTAGATGCCCTCCAAAGGCTCATGTGTTGATAGTTTGTCTCCCAGTGTAAGGTGCTACTGGGAGGCTTTCGGTGGTGAAGAACAGTGCAAAAAAGTTAATTCACTGAGTACACCCCCTTGAAGGCAATACCCAGGGCCCTACCCCTGCCCCATCCCCGCCCCCAGCCCTGCCTGACCACCAGGAAATAAGCAGCTTTGCCCCACCGTGCATGCGCCATATGATGCTATGCTTTCCCACTCAAAACGACAGAGTCAAGTGGCCCCATGGAGTGGGGCCATAAGTCAAAATAAACCTTTCTTCCTTTTGAGTCATTTATCGCAGATAGTTACTTGGTCATGGCAAAGGAAAACTGACTAGTAAGTCCTTTCATTAAATGCTTCTTCCCTCCCTGCCTCCTTTATTTTACTTTTCCTTTATCTATCTATCTATCTATCTATCTATCTATCTATCTATCTATCTATCTGTCTGTCTGTCTGTCTGTCTGTCTGTCTATCTATCTATCTATCTATCTACCTACCTATCTATCTATGTATCTATCTAATATACATATACATACAATAATATACATATTATATATATATACATACATGCATACATACATACATACATTAGTGCTGGAGATTGGAATCAGGTCCTCACATACATCATATGTTTGAAGCCTTGCCAAGCAGATCATTTTTTTTTTTTTTTTGGACAGGATTTCTCTGTGTAGTTTTGGTGCCTGTCCTGGATCTCACTCTGTAGACCAGGCTGGCCTCGAACTCACAGAGATCCGCCTGGCTCTGCCTCCTGAGTATTGGTATTAAAGGCATGTGCCACCACCACCCGGCTGTATCCCATTTTTTTGTCGTTACTGCTTTTCATCTTTATGAAAGTCATTGCTCATACATGTGAAATTCATTTTTTAAAAAGCCTTCATGTTTATGATTGGGTCATTTCTCAACTCTAAGGCTATAATCAGGTGCATAATATTCATCAGAGACTTGTCCTCTTTGATCACATGACACTCAGGATTTCAGGTTTCTACTTCTGAGAGCGATGCTGCAATAGATATCTGTAAGCTCTCTACCCACCACATAGTCTTCTCTCAATGACTCAGAAAAAAACAGGGATGTTGCAAGATGT